ACAGGTGTCTATTTCGGATGAAACACAAGAAGTTGTGGATGGTGTCGAGTAATTCGGAAGGAGGTTAGTAGTATTTATATCAACGAGCAGGATATAAGGTAAAGAGATGTCGTTTTCAAGTTTACGGTAAGATTCTATTGAGCCAGTAGGAAGGTCAGAATAAGATACGGATGGACCACTGTTCTTACAACGTTTGATTTTATCGAATTTAGTAGCGGATTTGGATCTTTACAGGTGTTATATTCGACAGGTGAAGTTGAGTGTTTTTTAGATAAACGTGACATGTTTTTGGAGTTATTTATAAGCAGAATTTCGTTACTATAAGCACACTGTCTGTTTGGAATTATGAAGCCAAAAACTACAGCAAAAATAACTAAAATAAGAATAACCGAAGGATGGTTGTGAGCGTTGAGTTTATATGTCCCGTTGAACTAAAGCAAAACGATCGGAAAACGAAAATGATAAAACACATGAATGAAAGGCACAACCTTCAAAATACGCACCTGGCATCACTCTTCGCCTCTTTTTGTCCAAGTGATTAGTGGTGAGGGACATGTGAATGGTTTCGGCTACTAGTTAAACCAAAAGTATTGAGTAATGTTTGTGCTTGGTGTATGTCGTAAGTAAGGCATACATCCAAAGCAATTTTTCGTAAGACAGCCCGAAACCTCAGACGACTTTAAGAACAGATTCTCCTGTGAGACCGACGAAATATGCCTGCGTCTTATGTATACCATACAACAAGTACGTTGTTACGGGAGAAATGAAGACATTTGACTGATCAAAACCTTTATATAAATATCATTAATTTCACTGTTTTTTGAGTATATTTGTTTTACTTAACCTATGAACTTGTTTGATTTATTATTTTCGGACATTTTGGGTTTTGATCGTCTTGGTGTGATAATTTTGAGTTTTTGCTCCAGGAACCTATAAAGATGAAGGTTTGTGTAGTTATTATAATTATTGTTGCTAGAACGACATTTGGTCGACTATTTGTGAATTGCGAATAAACTTTGGTACCTACTTTGGAGTTTGGTTCTGTTATTAATTTGGGTTCGTGAATTGCAAATAGATCGACATACTGTACTTCAATAACGTGAAGGCGCAAAACTTGGACGTATCATAGGTCACAGAAAGCCAAACGTTTTTTGATACTCGCTAATGTCACAGATAACCAAAGCATATTAACCAACTTCGTACATGCGACAGTCGTCTTATTGTCTTTATTCCACCTATTTCAATGACCGAGTTATGTTTGTTTTATATGGTCATCTAAATAACTAAAGTGCCTGGATACCACAGAAGAAGAAGGCACTAACCGTATGATTAAACTTCGATGAGAACACATTGCTATTTTAAAACAAATATATCAACATTATAGAATACTGAAAACTCCGCAACGATCTAAATCAGCTCAGAGGATAAAACTGTACCAGAACCCCGAAGTTTCAGAATCTGGTTAACCGTTGGATCACCTGGTTCGGCGTCTGTATGTTAATCATAATTGAAGATTGAGTGACCACCTTTAATAGAGTAAAGCCACTCACTACCTTTTGTTTGTTAGACTTTGAATTGTAAACTGAACCCATTGTTTTTATTCCATAACTCCATTCTCCCTTCTCAAACTTTTTTATTTAGTCCTTAATTTTTTATTTAAATTTCAGTGGTCTCTGAAATCGCAATCCCTAATACACGTTTCGCCCTACTTTAGGCTCGTTATTTGAAAATACCTAAACATAAGTATTGAACTACAACCTAGTATATTTTGTCTATATACTCCATATCTTATAATGAATGACCCACTAAATTCAGCTGATGATTTATATAGTTTTATTCATCAGTTTCTAAATATTCCTTCTGATATTCGGATCTGAAATACATTATTCTCTTTTGATTTGCATATGCATCAGGAGAGCATGATTATAATATTCTTCTTCTTTTGGAATGTCATCTTTGAAAGAATTTGGAAGTTACATAAGTCAAATGAAACTAGAAACGTTTAACAACAGCTTCGTGTAGAATTGAATTTGAATTTGGAGAATAGATACCAACAAAATAGAAACCAGCACACCTAGTCCAAGTAGCAAAGGACGATGGGTCGTAGTGCAACAACCATTTGAATAGGATTCAACATCATGTTGACGGACTACGCGAATTCATTCGAAAAGGATGACGCTATGGAGGCTTCTTATGCACTACAACGTACATAATAAGATATTCAGCATCTAACAGAATTCTTATGGTGAATCAGACTTAGAAATCGTGCTTAGTGAACAACCCACAAGCTCATTCGTGGTGAGAACCAGTGCAGGAGAATGTTGCTCACTTTTACTCTTTCTCTCTTTCCTGGTAGGTGACTTGGCTTATGTAGACGTCAGCAAGTAAAGCAACGAAGATATAGAATGCAACTAGACTATTAGGACGTTGCAGATGATCTAGTTCTTCAATCTCACACAGCAGCAAATAGGATTGTTTGAGGCCAGTGAAGCAGCAGTCTCTTCTGTAGTAAGTCTCAGACAGACAGACGCAGAACTTCGTACGCACGTACGTACGTACATCAGTTCAGTTTGCCATGCCCCATCAGCACACAGTCGCAACTGTCAGTTCAAATCCAAGAGTGATAGCAATAATAGAAGGATTAGCAGTAATGGAGAAAAATTAGGGAGCAAAGATATGATTCGAGAAGTAAAATTCAGTAAGATAAATATAGGAGAAAGGTAGAGATTGTGAGGAATGCAGAACCTCAGAATTTCACAGAACACAAATCGTGGATGCACCTGCGCCATTACAAACGATTGTAGTAAGTCTCAACACACCAAGGTACAAGCAAGATTCTTAGATACAACACAACGTACACCAACCGAACCGCTGTTGTAACGTTTACATATCTGGGTGGCATCGTCGATATGTAAGGTGGATCCAATTCAGTTATGAATACGTGGGTAAGCATAGCAAGCATAGTATTTCTACATCTGTGTAACATCTGGATAGTGAAACAACTGCTGAGGAATTATAATTTTCAATAAAAACCTACGACAGATTCTTTGTATAAAACGGGAACTTAGACAAATTCGTTAACCACTATTCAAAAGATGCAAGTGTCTATTAAGAGATGGTTATGCAAAATATTTCGAGTTCGTTGATCAGACACCATCAACAACAACCTACTATGAGAAACAATAAACAAAATTCCTCCAGCTGAGGGAGGAATTTATGAAATACCCTGGACGAAAATCACCCAACTATTCTAACTTTGTATCCTGAAGGCCGAAGAAGAGTAAGACCGCAGGACGCATTCATTCGCGAACCGGAGACAGACAACAAAAGACTGAATAGTAAATGAGTAGAACTAGGAAGGAATGCCTAGGAAGGAGTAGGTTGGGGCATGTTGATAGGCCCCCTATGCCTCATCAGGGATAACTAGCTTAAACAAGTAACCGTATTCACCTACAAATTCCGGAATCGCTTATACATTCTTTGAGTTCTGCAAGTGGGACTTGAAAACACATTTAATTATAAGGAAACAGGATTCTGAGCTACTAACCCGCAAGTCATGTAAGTTTTTCCAGTGGTTTGGGTTATATTTAGGTGGATATTGTTCAGCGAATTTATAACTATGTTGATCAGTAGTGGATGCAAAATTCACATTAACATCGCCTAAGAAGACATTTAGAATTGAATTTACTCTTCTTTAACGATGAAGCTTGTAGAAGTGAATAGAAATTCTGTGACTGAATGGATCCCTAAAGAAATTCAGATTCGCGAAATGATATTTTTAATTAAAATGGTTGCAGAAGTGTCACAGATGTCCAGGGTTTGATGACGCTCTCTTTCAAGATACCTTTATAATCGAAAATTCCGAACTCGATTGGATAAGTATTCAGAAATGAAGGAGTTTGAAGAGGTAATTGAATAATACCTGATAATCTGAGAAGCGTGTAGTCAAAGGCGGTTAGTTTTTGCCGAGAATGTGTAAAATGGTGTATTAAGTGTTTATGTGGTGTCGATCCAAGACTGAGTGTCTTCACTTTGGCTGTGTTTAATAAAACAGATGAGCCCGAAATCTACGTCGAAAACTTACATGACTTTTTATTCTGGTTACTTATTCAGCGACACAATTGTATCTGTACAAATCTTTCTTGTATTTGAGTTATGTCTTCTCCACTGCTCACTGCTTACATTTAGAAGTTACTTATCAGCACCTATCGTTATATTATTGCACAAAAATCGTGACAAATTTCGTCACGTCACTTCAAATTGTAATGTGGGAATGAATTTTCATAAATTTTTCTGTCTTCAACCACCATTCGTGAGGTTAGGATTCACTAACATTTTATGGACAACATTTGCGGATACTTTCAGTGTTCGCATATTAGTTATAAAATATTGCATCCTCTTTAGTTTCTGAGCTGTAACCTATATCTGGACGATTAACAAAACTTATTTGATCACATACAATGTTAAGTTCTAAAGTAGAATGATACAAATACAGGATAACTGTTAACTTACGTATAATGATTATTGAAAAAGGCTACATAAACTCCAACGTCAAATTTCATCTGTAATTCTTGTACGCGACCAAGAACCAGAAGAATACTTGCAGTAACTTGGAGATTACTAAATCGTACATACACAAAAATTAATGTTGATGTAAAACAATGACAAAGGAAACATCAGTTTATCAAAATCCTAACTGCTAGTATTTTCGCTGAGTAGACGCTAAACCGCACTAAAAGAATAAGAATCGATCGCGAATAAATCAATTTATTTTTACTAGCTAGGGAAAGTGATATTATATATATTGGAACCGGAATACTTGCCAGTACACGTCAATACACTTTGCTGGCCTCAAAGTGTTCATGCATATTTTATGACAGTGTACTGACAAATAAAGGACTTACACTCACTAAAGTGTCTCACGAAGATAGGTGCTTACTTCTTCATGTATTTACTCATCAAGTTATGATTGGACATTGTACATATAATTCCGCCACTTCTTATTGTTTAGCTGCCGGCATTTTGATTCAAAATGTCTTCGGATGCTCAGAATTGTAAGTGCAATTAATAACTGATTTTTACGTACCAGATTCCGGAGATGAAGGGGAAGAGTATAACAATCCTTACAGAAAAAATGTGAGTGTATATTATTCTTTTATGTAATGAACATAGCCACCACGGGTTAGGAAGAAAAACCGATACTATAGTGATGATTATTATGAGCCTCCAACGAACTACAAACCCCGGTTACTGCATTCCCCAAGACCCTCCGTACAAGCAGAAGAAATAACGCCGAAAGTGAGGAAGCCTGCTAAACTGGTATGTTAGTATAACTTATGTGACTTCGTAGCATAAATCAATGATTGGGCATATGCCCTGGCGTACACAAATGCATCATCCTGAAAGACGAATGGCACAGACAAATGCTGTACGCTTGCGAAACGTTCTAAAGCTGCCCAAAGCTCATAAATGGGTGTTTTACGAGTGGTTTTACTCCAATTTAGACAGGTAATGCAGTCCCCCATACTATTTCTCCAGACCTTTATTACTAGGTGAAAATGATTTTCGCATTTGTCTACGTGAAAGCTTCCCAAACGTTAAAACTCGCCGTTTATCGCGTGCTCATTGGTCGTTATTGCGTCGGTTGATGGGGAAGCCACGGCGTTGCTCCACAGCATTCTTCGATGAAGAACGTCGTTCTCTTAATGAAAAGCGAGAAAAAATCCGCACATTGCAGGCTACTCGCTCAGTGCAACTAGAGTTTTTAAGAGACCTCCCGGACGATATGCATGTCCCAATGCCGTTAATAATAGGGACCAAAATTACAGCCAGGTAACAATGTCGAATTCATTCGAGAAGTTTTCACAAAGTTTAATTTGGTTCTTTTATTTTCCTATTTTTACTGCACAAAAGTCAGTTACGTCCCCACTCCTTTACTTAAATCATTAGTCCTACACATTTCCACCACGGTTTGATGCACATTCATTATGTAGGCCCCAAACTGACTAGTTGGTCGTCAGGTATGAAATTATCTATTCATCCCGCAAAATTAACGATCGACACTATCAAGAAGTGCGAAAGAAAACTACTCTTTACACACTACTTATGATATTGATATGAAACATCAATTCATGTCAACCAGTATTTCTGGCCCCATATTTAAATAAACTTATCTTCTCGAGAGTGCGTGTTTTTAAAAGTGGTTCAACAAACTTACACGTCAGGAAACAACTCTTAGTAGACCAGTCACATGTGTTTTTAGCTGAATTTCCGTTGATTTTCAATTAGTCTACCGAAAATTCATTTGAATAATCAGTTGATTTTTTCGGTTCTAATAAATATCACTTAGTCTCCTTCAATAACTTTCTTTCAATAGTATAATACCGTTTGTTTTAAACTACTGGGAAACTAGCATTGATTTAGATTCGTCCTAAATATATTAATGTTTAGTCACTAGTAAGATACTGTGAATGTCGTAGGTGAAACATCCATGAGTGCGTATGCAGAGACTCAGTAATTCAAATCTTTCTTATGTTAACTGGTTTATTCGATACAGCTTCATGAATTAACTGTGCTTTATGCCATACTAACTGTGTTTGACTTATCCTGTTAATTTCAAAATTAGTTTCTTCTCTGTTCATCTCTAAAACCTGTATCCCATCATCAGTTCGATAATCATGACGGTATGTCAATTAGGATAGGTTTCTGCAATTTTTTTTTGTTTTATGTAAAAACTGACAATTTCACTTTCTAGTGTTTATATATTTTCAGAGTTCGTTATCCAACAGATGGTTTATACACTGGAAAAGTTGATGCAATCGATGCACTCAGACATTGCTATCGTGTCACTTTCGACAAGCCTGCTCTCGGTACTCGATCAATACCTGACTATGAAGTCTTGAGTATTTTACCTCAAGAAACTATACCTCTGTCTGCATACAAAACTCAACACAAAGCAAGCCGTAATCTCTTTATGAGTCCTGCTCGACTTTTGGCACAATCTGCTTTACAGGTAATAATTTAATGCATACTTCTTCTATGGGTTATGTGGGATATTATATTTGTATACGAACGATTTATAAAAAAAACACTAAAGGTATAATGAGTTCATCTTTTCGTTTCAGATAATAATTTAATTGTTTCATTTGATAAAATATTTACTTGGATATCATTCTTGAATATGATTTAGTTTAGATTTTACTAGCTGACTTTTTTAGTTCGCAGTTTTCTTCATCACGCTTTCATTCATACATTAGTGTTGATTACATTACCGGTTGTTAACTTACTTACTTAGTTACGCCTGTTACCCCCAATATAGCATAGGCCGCCCACCATTTTTCTCCAGCCAACTTTGTCCTCGGCTTCCCTTTCCAGTTCTGTCCAATTTTTGTTCATTCCTCTCATATCTTTCTCTATTTCTCGGGGTAATGTGTTCCTTGGCCTCCCTCTTTTCTTTTTGCCTTCAGAGTTCCATGTTAGGGCTTTTCTCGTGACGCAGTTAGGTGCTTTCCGCAATGTGTGTCCTATCCACTTCCACCGCTTCTTCCTGATTTCCTCCTCCATTGGAATCAGGTTTGTTTTCTTCCACAGTACGTTGTTGCTGATTGTGTCTGGCCAACGAATCCGAAGTATTTTGCATAGACAACTGTTAGTAAACACTTGTATCTTCCGAATAATGACTTTTTAATGATATGCCTAAAAAGTACACTCTGATCTGTCAGTATTTACGAAGAAGTTCAATTTTATTTAGCACAAACACACTTATTGATTCGTTTTACTACACCCTGTAAAATAAGGAACAACGATACAAAACAAAGAGGTAAATGTAAAGCGAACTATCACGGTCTGTTTTAATTGTGAATAATTACAGACTATTGTCACTTGTTTTTTTACCAACTTTACTTGTGTGTAATGTAAATTATGTACTTATCCAGAAAATCAACTGACAAGTATAAATATATACATTTTCCTACATATTTACTTCAAATACTTGCATTACCCTTTTAAGTTCTAAACTTGAATTCTAGGATTTGAAGAGACATTTACAAACGTTCTTATCTGGGTTTTTTTCTATCATGGTTGTATTTTCTAGTTAATTATTCAATTAATCGATCGTACGCAAGTACACCAGTTCAAGTTGTCATATCACATTAGCACAGTGATTTAATTGTCCATTCAAATCCCATAGTAGTAGAGGTCTCGCGCACAAACGCCCAATCTCTGGACCACTGAGCCGGTATCTAACGGCTCCATCCAGTGCTTCGAGGTTTCTGATGATCATCTGACATTGATCAATTTATAATTTCAATAAAAATAGAATACAAAAGAGTGAGTTAGTTAGTTGATCAACTATATAAGATGATTGTGACATGTGACAAATGATTGTCTACCTACCTACCTCACTTGGAACCTCAAGCTCAAAGGAAAATAGAAAGTCCAAGGAACAAATTACGCCGAGAAATAGAGACAGACATGAGAAGAATAAACAAAAATTGGACAAAACTAGAAAGCGAAGCCCAGGAAAGAGTTGGTTAGAGAAAACTGGTCGGCGGCCTATGCTCCATTTGGGCGTAACAGGCGTAAGTAAGTAAGTACCTACCTATCCGCCTTAAAATGACTATCATATGGATTCGTGACAAAGACTGACTGGTATAATCCATTTATCTAAAATCATCTCGGTCTTATTTTGTTTTTCCTTTTACTCAGGGTAAACGTCATCATATGCATCATCATAAATTTGGACATGGATTAGGACAAGCCGGTGGTGGTGGCGGTGGTGGTCTTGGTGTTGGATCGTCCGGTGATTTAACTGTACATGACTGTCCATTATGTCAATCGGAAGCTGCAGCTGCTGCTAGTGGTGGTGGTGGCGGTGTGAGTAATTCATCGGCAAGGACTCCAGGTTTCATGTCAACCATTAATAATAATAATAACAATAATAATAATACTAATAATAATAATAATCTATTATCAACTCCATTAAAATTGCCTGCAATCAGTAGTGGTGATGTTGCTGCATCAATGGGAAGTGCTGCGTTATCATTGAATGAATCATCATCCGGTGGTCGATTATTACTTAATGAAGCTGATATATATGGAGGTTATCCAATGAAATTCTTAGTCATGGTGGTAAGCTAATAAATTCTTCTGTTTTTTTGGTTTGTTTGTTTGTTTTTTTAATTATCTAAACACAGTGGTGATTGTTGACAAATGATACAAAATCCTATATAACAAACAACTACCTGTTTAACTTGAACAACGTTTTAGACTGTTTATAAATGAATGAATGAGTCAGTCAGTCAGTCAGTCAGTTGCAACGTAGAACTTCGTATGTATGTACCATAAGTTCAGGTTGCCATAGCACATTAGCACACAAAGACGCAAATGTCAAATCAAATCCCATAATGATAGTAGAGATAGTAGAGGTATTAATGGTAATGAAGAAGATTAGGGTTTGAAGATATTATTCAAGAAGTATAATACAGTGAAATAAGGTTAGAAAGACAAAGGTAGAGGTGCTGACGAATCCAGAAGATTAGGATTTCAGAGAGTACAATGAATGGATGCACTGACGCCATTGTAAATGATTTTGAGCCATGTCGTTCAAGGTCTCCTCTAATCATTGGTGACTTTCGTCTCACGGACCACAACCAGGTAGTCTACATCTACCAACATGACTCAGTCCACTAGTCAGTGACTTCATGGATTTCTGCCATGTTTTGGTTTGACCGCCTCTAACTTTCTTCCAACCTACTCCTACACCACAAAATATAGCTCGTCGAGTCAGTAGATGGTTAGGCATACGCATCACATGTCCCAACCACCTCAACTGATCAAGTTTCATTACTTCATCTATTGATCTGCCATTCTTACCTAGCACCCGATTCCTAATAACAGCGTTGCTCACTTGCGTGTCCCACGATATACGAGCAATGCTTCGAAGACACCTCTGATCGAAAACCAATAACCGACGAATATCTTCTACTCTCACTGGCCATGTTTCACAGCCATAAAGTAAGACGGAGCTGAATCATACTTCTTGAATGATATCTTCAATTCCTAATATTCTCCATTACCGCTTATTCTTCTACTATCTTTACACCATTGTGCGATTTAAAGTAACATTGGCGTCTCTGTGTGCTAATGCGGTATGACAACTTGAACTGATGTACGTACATACGTACGTATGTACGAAGTTTCACGTTGAAACCGACTGACTGACTGTATGTATGTATAATTCATTCAATATTCAAACATGTACTTTATAATAAAATGATTGTCGTCCAATTCTCATTACTTTTTTTATCTATTAATTTAATTTTTATTTTTTTGTTTTTGAATTACAGACAAAATTATCGAAAATTTTAGAAGTTAAAAAACGATGTGTCGATGAATTACAAGATTTAAATGATGAAGCTGAACGAAAGGTTTTTTTTTTAATTATTTTTAAAACAAACTTAATTGTAGATTTCTAATAAAGCTGAATTATCATTAGAATTTCAACATACCTATCTTACATTGATTATGCATTTAGAACGATTAAACAAAGAATTAAGTCAATATTTAATTCATGTACTACAATATGCCAATGAAGTAAGATAATTTATTGTTTTATTGTGTATTTGTATATCTTTTATTTATTTTGAAGCCTGTTGATATGGCTGAGAATGAGGAGAGTCTACTCTCTTTCTCTCTCCCTCATAATTTAGTCATGAGTGTATAATCACATTGCCAGGAGTAGGTTGGAAGAAAGCTAGGGGCGGCCAGATCAAAACATGGCACAAATCCATGAAGTCACTGACAAATGGACTGAGTCATGTTGGTAGATGTGGGCTTACCTGGTTGGGGTCCTCGAGATAGTTACAGGAGACCTTGAACGACATGGCTCAAAATCATTTACAATGGCGCAAGTGCATTTACTCTTTGTGCTCTCTCAAATCCTAATCTTCTGGATTCGTCAGCACTTTCTCTACCTTTGTCTTTCTAACCTTATCCCACTGAATTATACTTCTTGAATAATATCTTCGGACCCTTGTCTTCTTCATTACGATTAATACCCCTACTATCTTTATCACTATGGTATTGGATTTGACATTTGCGTCTTTGTGTGCTAATATGGTATGGCGACCTGAACTTATGGTATATACGTACGAAGTTCTACGTTGCAACTGACTGAATCATTGCCAGAGAAAGCCTATCCTCTACCATCTCGTAGCGCAGAGATGTTGTTTTTGGGTAACTCAGAAAAAGAAAACATAACTGTTTGTATAGGACTGTAATTGGGTTTGTGGTGTGTGCGGACTATCCACTTATGGTTGGGGGGTGGATTTGAAGAACTCTCAACCAATAGTGTACATGGGCGCGGCTACATGAATACTGGGGGGAACAAATGACAAATGTGATCTATTGCTGGTAATCGGCTATCATAGGACCACTTCTAATCTTGCCCCATTCATTGCCTTGTGTGGATTAGATATGTCGATGAAAGACTCGATGAGTGAGTGCCACGTTGTTTTTTAGTTTCGGCACCCGGATGCACTCAATGCACTAATGTTTGTGTTGAGATTTTTTTTAAAAAATGCAATAGATTGAATGTTATGAGTTTCTTAGGAGGAGAAAAAAATCACACATCGAAATGGTTTATAAACTAAATTCAAGTTTATTGAAATAGCTTATGCATAAATCAAATATCAAAGTTAATCAATCTCTTTCTGTCAATGATTTTGGAAATTTGTATTGATCCATGGATTGATATTGATTCTAAATTGTAAATTGTATTGTTGCATGAATTTCTCTTGTTTTTCCTTTTTCATATCTGCTCATAAAATCTTAATAATAATAATAGGCTTGTAATAGCAATTAATGTTAGGTAACACATGGATAAATGCTTCTAGTATAAGTTGTTCAGTCAGTCAGCTACAATGTAGAACTTCGTAACTCAAGTTGCTATACCATATTAGCGCAGAGCGATCGAAATGTCAATTCAAATCCCCATAGTATTGGAGGTAGTAGAATTATTAGCGGTAATCTTAAAGATTAGAGTTCGAAGATATGTTTCGAGAAGTATATCCCAGTAGAATTAATTGAAAAACAGAAAATTAGGTCACGAGGAATTCAGTTAATTAGAATTGGAGGGGGGAAGACGAACATGGGATGCACCTGTTCCGTTACAAATGATTTTGAGCCTTGTCATTCAGGGTTTGTAACCATCTGTTACTGTTGTCTCCCGGAACGTAACTAAACAGTCTGTACCTATTTATACGGCTTAGTCTAGTTGCCAATAACTTCATTGATATGTGCCACGTTTTGTCTTGACTGCCCCTAGCTTCCAGAAGTCAGTCGAGTTTTTTGTATCGGTTCTGTGATTTCGTCACACACCAGACCATCAACACTGATGAGACTCCCGAGATAAGTGAAGCGATCAACTACTTCACTGTCTATCACTTGTTCAGGTACCGATGAAACCCAATCCTTGACCAGTAATGTACGAGTAGAGAGCTTATATAAGGTTAGTTCACTTCGCTGGTACTCCTTTCAATGCTAGACACTCCCATTGAACCTCACAATTGTCAGTCGAATGCCGCGTTAAGGTCAAGAAATACTACTATTTTCGGACGGCTGAATGTGTGTCTATGTTCTAGGACCTGATAAACTATGAATATCCGGTCTATACAGCCACATCCAGGTCTGAAAGTAGTCGGGTTTTCTCGGGTCCGCTCTTTACGTGCTCTAGTTAGGCGATGAAGTATTATTAATGCTGTATGTATTAGTTAGACTTATTCTCCTGTGATTGTCACAAGAAGACTTTTGTCCTTTCTTATAAATTGGGACAATCAGGGATTGCGTCCAGTTCCCAGATTATACCTACGATCTCAGTCAATCTCACTGCTAAAACTAGACCACCATCCCTAAAAATCTGAGAGGAGTATATATCAGGTTGTCCATAGCCTTTTCAGCCTCATTAAGAGTTGGAGGACTTACATTAATTCGTCATTCAGGATGACTGGGGATTGTGGGCAACCGAACTGTGGCTGAAGACCAATTGAACAGATCCCTAAAGCGTTCTACCTATCGATTCAGTCTCCTAGATTGAGAAGGAATAATAGTCCCATCCTTTTCCAGGATATTCTCACAAACAGTTGAATTTCTAACACCAGTTTCCGTGATGTCTGAATAGTTGTCTAGTGTCGCCGCCGCCTATCACAACCAGGTACTTTACACCTGTTAACGTAGCTCAGTTCAACTATCAATAAATTTATAGACTGGTTTCATGTTTTAGTTTAAATATTCCTAACTTTCTTCCAACCTACTCCTACACTAGACAGGATTGTTTGTCTTGGTAGATAGATCATGAATTTAAAACTACTGTATTACATTTAGTGACTTCTGTAATAATATTATCAATCTTATCCGAGTAAATGTTTTCTTATTTGTCTACGATACTGATAATAATTATTATTTTTGAAACATACAATTGTTGTTGGTACAAAGGAACACCAAAATATTTATACACCAAACAAATTATTGAATCCTTGTCTGCGTTGGCGGGGATACTTCCCGGGTGCCAAAACCGAACCAGGTGGTTCTTTCCGGAGAACAACTTTCTGAACTTTTGACCTACAGGCTTAATTCACAAAGTAATGAATGGGTCAACATTCAGAAATACAGTCCCTTCTTAGCCGCTGACCAACAATAGAATTTTCTGACTCAGTTAGTCAAATCCTCCATACCCATCAAATTGATTTAGTTCCCGATAAGACATTTGATTTTCGTAAACCACACACTGATAATGAGCAGGCAGTGGCCAGAACACTTCCCTGTTAGTGACTATATATATAAAGTCATGGCCATATGAGAGAGCATTTGGAGAGGAAAAGCCGACTTTCCCTGCTGTCGAACACATTTTTACAGGTGAATAAATAACATATATTATTGTTCATTGTATTTTATCATCCTTTCTTAGATTGCTCAAGAACATGGTGTAGCACCATTAGAACAAGCAGCTGATTTTAAACAACGTTGTGATGAAGATGCCTACGAAATTGTTACACGAATAAAGAGCATGCAGGTTAGTGATTTTGTAGTGAATACTTCCTCTATTGTATTCTGTTTTTATTTACAAAGTATCTCATCGACAGATTTTTGCTGTTCTACTACGTAATTGTGATTTTGTTTTTGATCCTCAATTAAAAGATAATCAGTGAGCAACAACGTAGAACTTCGTACGTACGTACATCAGTTGAAATTGCCATACTACATTAGCATAGAGAGATCGGATCATTGTGTAGGCTTTTTATCAGCCTGCGCTCAAGCTGACTTCGCTCTTCGTCATGTTCAGAGCCAGGCGGAATGAGTTTCTGAGCGTCTATCAGTGTTGTGGATGCTACTGAGATCCATGGCTTCTTCCTAACCTCATAGTTTACCTGTCTAGCAGATATCACTGCTTACCGATTTAGAAACAACGCGTATACACTACTAACGGCAAAACACAAAAGGTCAGTCAATTACAACATAGAACTCCGTACACATGTACATCAGTTCAAGTTTCCACACCACTATATCACAGAGGTGCAATTGTCAATTCAAATCCCATAGCGGTAGAGATAGTAGAAGTATGAACAGTAATCGGAAAGATTAGAGCTTGAAGATATTATTCCAGGAGTAGAATCTAGTGAAATAAATTCGAGAAATGAAAGATGGTTATGAAGAGTACTATCATCTCACGGACTCTAACCAGGTAGTCTACACCTAGCAACATGGATCAGTCCACTTGTTCAATGACTGCATGGATTTGTTTCATATTTTGTTCTGTCCTTTTTTAGCCTTATTCCAACCTACTCCTACACTACAAAACATCGTCCGTTGATGTAGTCCGTGGTTGGACATACATAACAAACGATCTACCATCCTTACCAGTACCCTTTTCCTAACACCAGCATTGCTTGCTGGAGTGTCCCATGATATATAAACAATGCTTCGAGGACATCTATGATCGAATACTATTAGTCTACGAATATCCTCAACTCTTACCAGCTATGTTTCGCAGCCGTACAGTAGGACAGAATGTGATGCTATTCAGTAGTCTCATCTTTTGTTTACCAGAAAGATATCTCACACCATAAGTGATGCTGCAAGTTAGCAAAAGCCAGTCGAGCCTTCTATATCTTCTGTGCAGTAATTGCGTCAGTCAGCAGTCCATCTAATCTTATGAGACTCCCAAAATATATCATCCATGTTCAAAGAGGACTAATCAATTTGTTTTCAATAATCTTTTACATCAATGGGGAGATTCGAACAAACTTTAAAAAAAAACGAAATAATTAAGATTTATTCTTGTCACATTAGCTAGTGATTATCTGAATTTGGTAGTAGCTCGGTAGATAAATACATAACACGTTGATCATTTGAAATGAAATACACTGATTTCAAGTCTCAACCACAAACAATAGAGTTGATGAAGTCGAATCTAGCTTAGTAGTGTTTCAAGTTTCTCCAATTGTATTTCATTTTACTCTTAACAAATAGTCATCTATTCACCTACATCATCTATCTGTCTATCTATCTTTCTGTTTGTGTATTTGTTTAATAAGACATTTAAATATGAAAGCAGTCAGTTAGTCAGTTAGCTACAACATAGAATTTTCATACGCACGTACGTACATGCGTACATCAGTTCAAGTTTCCATACCATGATAGCACAAATATCCAATGGTCATTTCAAATCCCATAGTGGTAGAGATAGTAGTGAGAAGACTGAGGCAGGCGAGGAAGATTGTATTATGCAAATTTACACTCTAAGTCAGTTAAAAACGAAGACATTACATTGAATACTCTATTTGCACACCATCTTTTAAAGTCGTGACTTCCAACACTCCATCCTTCTTCCATTCCTGTTGTTGCTTCCTTTCCTTCCTCTGTTGGTGGTACTCCATTTACTTCTTGCTTTTGCTCCATTTACTTTCCGTTTTTCGTCTTCTAACCGTGCGACATCTTCTTTCACGTCCCTTTTTATACTACTTATATCGTTCGTTATAAGTAGCACACACCACAGTAGAAGTATGAACAGTAATCGGAAAGGTGAAGTGAAGGTTATGAGAAATTCTATGTAGAAATCATAGCGTATTTGTTTAGTTTGTTTGTTTGTCATTTTATTCTATTCTTTTTTATAATTTTTATTCATTATCTCTCTCTCTCTAATCCAATTTCTTTTTTTTTTATGGTTTATTTTTTTAAATTTCCTAATATACAGGCTCAAAAATTTCGTAATTTAAAAACAGTTGATTTAATTACAAAATTAATAAGTTTACTTGTACAAATTCGTTCATTAAGTGAACATGATGAATCAACATATGATTGTTCTAGTATACAAGAATCATTACATGAATTAAAATCAAGTATACATTCTAGCAATATACAGTAAGTTACGATTTTAAAAAATGTACAATTTGTTGTTGCTGTTGTTGTTGTTATTTTTAACATTGAAATTTATGAATTATCGAAACTTGGAAAGCACTGGATGATGGTCAGTTGTTCCTAGTTTGTTACTGTTCATTGGAACTCCGTGCATCTACGATCTCCGCTTACGGGAATCGAATCGTGCGTAATCGGTTAACGTCTAGATCAATGAGCCTGCATAAAATGGACTCACTAGTGACTAACTGTTTGAGGAAATTCTCGCAGTTTTAGTGAGCAGTTGTGATATGTGTAGTTCTATGCTGTCAAATGTAGACAGTAACTACCAAGGACAATGGGTTGGGTTACGCAAGAATCCGTAGTTTGTCCAGAGTTAGACATTAACACCGGTCTCGGAGTTAAGCTTTTCACGTGCGATACTGAAAGGTACTAAGTTCAATTCATGCGAGTGTGGTGAGAGGGCGTTATGGATGCCCATTGTTGTTGATGAGTCGCTTGCTTGGACGAAACGTTTGCCTTGTGTGTTTCTATGTTTCGAATTGCAGTCTAATGTTGATTGACTGATTGATTCATGATTTTGAGATTTATTGATTAATTAATTGTGTAAATAAAAATATTTCGTATTTAATTTTCAAATCTTCATGTAACGAACGAACTAAGCTACTAAAAATAAACTGGATTTTTATTTTAACGAAGACATGAGTTTACTAACAAACAACAATGTACAGGTGTTCGTTTGCAATGCAATTAGAAAGCAGGCAGATTATTGATAATCTTCTTGCACAGATCATTTTTGATTTTTTTAAAAGCACACTTAAATCGAACCACACATTCGAATGTCAGTCAGTCAGTCAGTTACAACGTAGAATTACGTACGTATGTACATAAGTTCATGTCGCCATACCACACAAGCAAAAAGACGCAGATGTCAAATCAAATCCCATAGTGATAAAGATAGAAGAGATATTAATGAAGAAGACTAGCGTTCGATGATATTATTCAAGAAGTATAATTCAGTGAGATAAGGTTAGAAAGACAAAGGTAGAGGTGCTGACGAATCCAGAAGATTAGGATTTGAGAGAGCACAATGAATGGATGCACCTACGCCATTGCAAATAATTTTGAGCCATGTCGTTCAAGTTCTCCTCTAACCATTGGTGACTTTCGTCTCACGGACCACAACCAGGTAGCCTGCACCTACCAACATGACTCAGTCCCGTTGGCAGTGACTTCATGGATTTGTGCCATGTTTAGGTCTGGCCGCCTCTAGCTTTCTTCCAACCTACTCCTACACCACAAAACATAGCTCGTCGAGGCAGTCGGTGGTTAGGCATTCGTAACACATGTCCCAACCACCTCAACTGATGAAGTTTCACTTCTTCATCTATTGATCTGCCATCCTTACCTAGTACTCGTATCCTAACGATAGCATTGCTTACTCGGTTGTCCCAGGATATACGAGCAGTGCTTCAAAGACATCTGTGATTGAATACTAGTAACCTACGAACATCTACTCTTAACGGCCATGTTTCACAGCCATATAGGAGAACGGAACGAACTGCTGCGCAGTACATCCGTCCTTTGGTTAGCGAACGGATATCACGTTTACGCCATAAGTGATGCAGGCTGGCAAAAGCTAATTGAGCTTTCTGTATCCGAGCTGAGGTTTCGTCAGTCACCAGGCCATCAGCGCTGATGAGACTCCCAAGATAAGTGAAGCGATCAACACGCTCGACTATTCACTCCCTATCACTGGTTTAGGTGCCACATTCGAATGTGATGCTATTTTTTCCGGTAACAAATTCTGAGTGGCATTATTCGGTTGTATACTGATTGCAAGCATCCATATTGCATATAGTATCGTGAAACACGCTAATTTTTTTTATCAAACTAGTTTAGATAATTTAGTTTCTTGTAGTGTAAGTAATAACATTGGTCGGGTACAGCTTGTTGTGAATGCCGATTTTTATTATTATTATTTTTATTATTATTGAATTCGAGTTAATTAATGTTTCCTCTTGATGACTACCTAACACATGTATATATGTATATATTGTTAACTTCCTTACGCCTGTTACCCCCAATGGACCATCTGCCATCGACCAGCATTCTCCAATCTAAACAGTTCTGGGCCTTCCTTTCTAGTTCTGTCCAAATTTTGTTCATTCTTCTCATGTCTGTCTCCAGTAGTCGGCGTAGTGTGTTCTTTGCTCTTCCATATTTCCTTTGGCCTTGAGGATTCCAAGTGAAAGCTTATTATTTGATGCAGTTATGTAATTGCCTCAATCTATGTCCTATCCACTTTCAGCGCTTTTTCCTGATTTCTTCCTCAGTTTCCGCGCCTAAGATGCTTAGTTGACCTTCAGTTTGCATCTCCCTCCTCGGAAAATACTTAACTGTCATTGGTTGATGGATTATTTTAGTGCGCTATTTTGTACCTGTCCGAAGGGCGTTGCTATCATTGTATAAATAAGCTTGATTCGTTAGCTTAGCGACTTCAATGTTTCTGGGTGCCTGTAGAATATATTCTCTACGTCTTATCAAGCCTCTTTGCTTTTGTCATCGGGGCCTGGGACAATCAGATTAGAACAGCCTATCTGCATCATTTATCTGCGCTCGGTTTACCTGGTAAGCTGAGCTCCTAATAGTTTCAAGCTTATCATTTGGCGACGGACATGAGATACTGGATGTAATTGTATCTGACAGCGGTTCACAATTTACCTCTAGCTAATTCAAAGCATTCTTGCAAGATATTCGAGGTATGAGCAGCTGATCAGTATGTCAGAAGTATCTGTCCCACGATAGTAATAGCGCCACTGCTGTGATGAGTGATTCAGAATGCGAGAACAGTTAGTCGTGGAGATAAGAGAGGTATTAGGGGGTGTAGAAAGGATTTGACTTTGACCAGTTTGGTCTCGTGTGCTTTTATGGGTATGAGGGCGGTTGTCACTTCCTGGCTGCCCACACCGTGGAAGGTTGTTTCTTGAGGAACCTGAAAAGGAAGATAGATTAGCGTTGGTCTTAGAGACCTGAAAGCGTGACCGCAGAGCCCAAGGGTCAACTGCTGTAGGCTGGTCACGCACGGCTTTTTTATGAGAAGTTTTTTGAGTGTTAGCTCCGCTCTTAAAAGCCCTTAGTGGGCACCCTTACACAAGGAGACGGAAATCCGTGAGGTAGGGTGAGATGTGACATTTTTAGTGTCGACCTTTTCTAACCCTTCCTTCCTTGTGAGAAGGCAGCATCGCTGCAGATGCTGGTTGTCCGAGGGAAACACCTTACTGCTGTCAGACCCCTCTGCAGTCAGCAGTACGACTTCACCCTCAGACCTTGAGTAGCTGCTTTTAGTCTCATCGCTCTCCCAGCGACCTGCCTGGCATGTTAGAACCTTCAGGAACATATGTTCCAGCCAATATATAGCCCGACCACCACGTCAAGGTAGCAGCTTCGGTCGGAATACATCACATCAGAATGCAATGATGTGATATGAACTGGCTTCGTTCCGTACAATTCATACGAGATTGTGCTTTCTGCATTGTTCATCAAGTCTGCTATGTCTATTCATTCGTCCAGTACATTAAGTTCGAGAGTTTCGCTGTCGACGTAGCTCTTCACGTTGCTTTATGTTCGACTACGGGAATTCTCGATAATCGTCGGCTATTCTCAGATTATATCACGTCGGACTCTCACCATTTTAGCCGCTCACGACTAAACTCCAGTGTGGATGAATGATCAAGTGTGCGTTTGTCCATTTCCATATATCGTACTAGGGCAACTCCTGTTCGTGCGACGGCGGAAGTGAGAAACCAATCACGGTTTTACGGATGAATTTATTTCATGTGCATTCATTTAAGCAGAGACAGACATGAGAAGAATGCAAAGTGTGCAACCTAAACGAAGGCGAGCAAGTGAACATAATTTTTTGCCATTCTGGGTAAATTTTTTTTCTCATATGCCCCTCCCTTCACTCTTCTTCTGTTTTACTTTTTTTTTAGTGTATTTGAAAATAGCGTAGAAATCTCCATACATCATACATTAAGCGGTTTGTGTACATTGAGCAATTTAAATTCATTTTTGTATACACATCCAAATCATTTTCATTATTTATAAATATTGATTATAATTGTAATTGTAATTGTAATTAATGAATAATTATTATTATTATTATTATTTTTGTCAATTAACTAACTATACCAACTAATTATCAGTAGTATCAACTATGTATGTATGTATGTATTGTGTGAAATATTTCGGTCAATAATTATTACCTTTTATTTCTAATTGCCTGCTACCCCCCCTTGGGGGTCGCCTTGATTCTTGACTTGGTCACTTTTATTTCTTATATCAAGTGAATGGTGTATACATTTATATATTGTGCACAAGAATACATTGTATCTAGTCTTTGACTTTTCTCTCATCCTTACGCTTATTCTGTATTCAAACACATAATTATATTGGTTTTGATAGGCATTCAAACTATTTATGCACCAGAAGAAAGATCAACGAAATTATAATTAGGCTGTCAAAACCAAAACAGGTAGTTTGTTTTTGAGGAGCTTATGACCTAAAGCTTTAATCCTTAAGGCGCGGTTGAGTCATGTCAAGAGAGCCTTTGAGTAATATTAGGTTTATACGCTGTTTGTTCCATCAATATCTTGCAGCCCATGTACACCCACCATCATCATCAACCTGTAGAGAGGTGTGACGGCAGTAAGCTATCTCCCTCGGATAACCAGCATCTGCAGCGATGCTGCCTTCTCACAAGGAAGGAAGGGTTAGAAAAGGTCGACACTAAAAATGTCACATCTCACCCTACCTCACGGATTTCCGTCTCCGATTGTAAGTGTTGCCCAATAAGGGCTTCTAGGAGCGGAGCTAACACTTTGAAACTTCTCATTGAAAAGTCGTGCGTGACCGGCCTAAAGCAGTTGACCCTTGGGCTCTGCGGTCACGCTCTCAGGTCTCTAAGACCAACGCTAATCTATCTTCCTTTTCAGGTTCCTCAAGAAACAACCTTCCACGGTGCGGGCAGTCGGGAAGTGACAGCCGCCCCCTTACCCGTAACAGCATACGAAATCGAATACTTCCTACACTACATAATACCCCACGACTAACTCTCTTCACATCCATTTATCACACTGCACAGCTAATGCAAATAATGCGAATTCCCGAAAAGTCATTCCTAGTCTCCTGAAACCTCGTTCTACATTACATGTTGGAGCTTTTAATGTACGGACATTGTGTCAAGTAGGGCAACAGGCTTCCTTAGCTAGGACATTAGAATCTCGCTCAATCGATATATGCTGCGTCTCGGAAACGCGCATGCAGGATCCTAGTAAAATCATTAATTAGATTTCACCTTATCAAAACAAATAAGCAGCTGGATTTACTCTTCGTTTATCTGGAAGCCCTGATGCTGCCTCCCGGGGTCTTGCTGGCGTAGGCATAGCATTGAGTCGTAGGGCAGAACTCGCTCTCTTAGACTGGATCCCCGTAGACAATCATTTGTGCGTTGTTTGACTAAACGGGACGGTAGGAATTCGGAAGGATAAGGGCACTCGCGGTTGCCTCTTCGTCACATTTGCCTACGCTCCCACTGACTACAGTTCAGACGAGGTGAAAGATAAGTTTTACAGAAACCTCTGTAAACTTCAAAAAGTTAAGCGCTCTGATATAGTAATAATGGCTGGCGACTTGAATGCTTAAACAGGTAGACTAGGTGAAAAGGAAAGACATCTAGATGGATCTTATAGTGTCGCGGCTCAGAGAACAGAAAATGGCGACCGTCTGTTGCAGCAATGCTCAGATAACTCCCTATTTCAAACAAACACTAACTTGAAGCATAAAGAAAAACATCTGTCCTGGCGACCCCCAAAGCCGAACCAACTAGATCACATCGCCATCAGACACCGATGGAGGGGTTCGGTAGAGGTCTATCGCTCGTTCTGAGTCAATTGTTTAGGTTCAGTTCATATTCTAGTACGAAATCCTATTTGTCCACGTCCAATTGAACTTAGGAAAGACGTTGTAAGGAAACCATTTAGGGTTCTGCCTAAGAATATATTTTGGGAGCAACTAGGAAAAGAGCCAGGTGGTCGGTCATGTAAGTGATTCCCACCCTGAAACAGCTCGGAATGATATCCAGAAAGCTGTGGAAACAACAGTACTATCTGCTAGTAAGGTCAACTGTAACGGGTGGAAGAAGCAGTGTATTTTAGGAGCATCTACCGAAGTGATAGACGCTCGGAAATCTATCCCGTGTGTCTCTGAACATGAGGAGCATAGTAAGCTCAAGCTCAGGCTGATACGAAGTTTGCACAATGATTGCGAGCAGAATTTTGTAGCGAAAGCAAGAGCGATGGAGAAGGTCGCGGTGATAGGTAACGGTAGACAACTGTTCCGCCTAATCAAGGAAACCGGTATTAGAAATCCATTTGGCGAAACTATCTGGGAAAAAGTATGGCTGTATCATTGATTCTCAGTCCATGAGATTGGATCGATGGGCAGAACACTTTAGGGACCAGTTCAACTGGCCTTCAGCCACACTTCTGTTACCCACTATCTCCAGTCATCCCGAATAGCAAGCTGTCATAAGCCCTCCGAACGTTTATGAAGTTGAAAAGGAAATAGGAAGCGAGGTAGAGCACCAGGTCCTGATAGATTGACCCTTGAGATTTTTAAGGATGGTGGTCCAGTTTTGGCAGCTAGATTGACTGAAATCTTAGGTAGAATTTGGAAACTGTACGTAATCCCACCTAACTGGTCTCAGTCGCTGATTGTCCCAATTTATAAAAACGGGCAAAAGTTCTCTTGTGACGATCACAGGGGAATCAATCTAACTAATATAGTTTCTAAATTGTTAGCCTCGATTATACTTAAACGTCTACCGAGAGCTTGTGAAGTGCAGGCTCGAGGGAAAAAGGCTGGTTTTCGAACTGGACGCGGATGTATAGACCAAATATTCGCACTACGTCAGGTCTTAGAGCAAAGACACGTTCAGACACCCCACAATAAAAGTATTTCTCGACCTTTAGGCGACATTTGACTCTCGATCGTGAGGTTATGTGGCAGTGTCTGTATGGCTCACTACGGGTCGAGTAGGCGCTAATAGCGGAATCGATTTTTCATCATCTGAGTCTTCAGAAGTGAACTTATTCGGTGAAGACGCTGAGAAAATTCAGAGTCTTCTAACTACCGTAAGCAACAATGCAAGCATGTTCGGGATGTGGTTCTCACCCTCAAAATGCTGCTTCAGGATTGGCTTGTTTCGGTACCTGAAATAGTAGTAGGTAGTGAAGTAGTCGAATGTGACGGCAAATCAATACTGTAGTAGTGAAACTTCATTAGCTGTGATTCGGACATGGGTTGCTTATGCCTAACCACCGACTGCCTCGACGAGCAATGTTTTGTGGTGTAACAGTAGGTTAGAAAAAAGCTAGGAACGGCCAAACAAAAACATGGCTGAAAGCCGTGAAATCGCTGACAAGTGGACTGAGTCATGATGGTAGATGTAGACTACCTGGTTGAAGTCCTATGATTTAAAACCTTGAACGACATGGCCCAAAATCATTGCAATAGCTCAAATGGATGGATGTGTTTATTCCAAGCAATCGTTTACCCGTGCAGACACAGGTGCAACACAGACCTTCATACGTACGTACATCAGTTCAGGTCGCCATACCACATTAACACAGAGATGCAATTGTCAATTTAAATCCCGAAATAGTAGATGTAGCAGGAGTAATAACACTGTTCATCCACAACTCCTGCGCCTCTCAGGATTCGAACCCAGGACCATTGGTCCTACGCGTGAATGCCTAACCTCTGGACCACTTAGCCAGTATCTGACGGTGTTAACGTTCAACTTCGATCAATTCACGGTCGTGCGCAACCTCATACGATGTCTTCGGTAGTTACTGTCTACACCCGAACAGGTTGAACTTCATTGGTCATAACTTCTCACTAGAACTCGGAAAAGATTCCTCACGGAACTAGCCACCAGTGAGCACTCGTAATTGCCTTAGGGGCTTTTGAAGATTGTTAGGCTATTTATGATGTTGAGCAGGACCGTGAATTGATTGAAGTTAGACGTTAACACCGCTTCGAGTCCTGCTAGGGGCAGGAGTCGTGGGTGCGCACTGACGGAACGGCCATCAAGTGCTTCCAGGTTTCTAGTAGTGGTCTAACATTGATCGGTTCATGATTTCAACGAGTTGCTTAAAAATCTTCATAACCACGTAAAGTATCAGCTGTGATCGAAAACATTAATGATCAAATATATCATTCGAGATGTATAATCCAGAGAAATCAGTCTAAAAAAAGAGATAAAACAGTCATGAGGAATTCAGAAGATTCGGATTTTAGAGATCATAAAGAATAGATGCACCTGCGAACGGTTTTGAGCTATGTTATTCAAGGTCTCTAACCACCGATGACTATCATCTCGCGGACCCCGACCAGGTAGTCTACATCTACCAACATGGATTACGTCCAGTTCCCAGATTCTACCCAAGATCTCAGTCAACCTAGCTGCTAAAACTGATGTACTTACGTTCTACGGTGAATCTTACTGACTGACTGACTACCAACATGACTCAATCCAGTTGTCAGTGACTACGTGAATTCGTGCAAAGAAACAGTGAATTTACATGTAATTATTAAGTATTAATCGACCGTAATAATTGATAACCGCGAAGTTAGTTAATCATACTTCGATAAAGGTAGAAAATGCTTTGAATTATTGACAGGATAGCTATTTTCGTCATCGAGTTATTGCGATTACTAAGTTTCATTGAAATAATAAGTCTATTATTGTTTCAGTATTTCACTGAAACTTAAAAATCTCCATAACTCGATAATAAAAAATTATAAAACGTGCTCATTAGTGACTATCTTCATGAGGAAATTCTCGGAGTTCTAGTGAGCAGTCATGATCACTGGAATTCAGCCCTGTCGGCTGTAGGCAGTTATCCACCAAAAATAATGGGTGAGGTTGTACAATACCTTGGATCGATCAAAGTTAAACGTTAACACCATTGGATGCCAGCTTAGTGGTCTAGACGTTCGGGGTTCACATGTGATACCGAAGTTTGGGTTCAGATCATGCTAGCAGCGGTTGTGAGTGCTTACTGTTGATGAGTCTCATGTCAGTACGAAACGGCCACCTAGAGATTCCATGCTTCTAATGGTGTTCTATCAATTATCGGTTCATTATTTCAAGGACATATTGTAATAGGGTAGGTTTTTTTAAAGTTTATGGCAATATTGTTCTTTAGAGAAACATTGAAAACTTCACAGCTTCACCAAAATTATCAGCATTTCAAAAGAGCTAAGATTTCTGGCAAGGATATGAAAACAGCATGAAAATATAAATTTTCCTTTGATAAGACTCTTCTATGTGGGATTA